GTCTACTTGTGTTAACATCATTAGACATCATTTCAGTACTATTTAAAGTGGCTTGGAAGCCATTTTAAACAGAAAAAATAACCAACAATAAGTACAAAAATGCGCCAAATAAACTACAGAAGGGTAATTGGTTACTGATTGAGAGCTGAAAAAAAGATATCAGCGGGTCACTTTGTCCAACCTTAGCTTGGGAATGACTTGCATGTTGAATGACTGAAATTTCTCACCATTCTGTGTATTGTTGGAAAGCATAATTATAACAAATTTTGTCTACCCAGACAAACTATAGAAGATGAGGACTAGAACAGTTTTGTACTGAGGAAGCATTAAGCCAGATTGTTATGCACACCACAGACAATTCATTAACAAGATTGCAAAGACTGAAAAGAATTTTATATAGCCAAAGTGGTGCACCCATTTTATGCATGTCAAAATAAATGATAAGGTCACATAAGAGAACTTGACAGCATCAATCATAGTATGTTCTTGTGAACCAACACAAATGGCACTGCGGTGTTTAAACCACTGACCTTGTGGTTAACAGTCCAGTGCTTATCCTATAGTGCTACACCAGGACTCACTGTTATTAGTATGTGGAAAGAATAAAACTCTAGACCAGTTTCTCTGCTGGTTTAAGTTCAGAATAAAATATTTCCAGTCCAATTCTGTCATCATTCATGTAACTGTATTCTGAAACAATTAGGTTTAATTTTCTCTGAATTTTTAAAAACAAATATAATTTTACATAAACAATATAAAGCCAATTAAAGTTGTTCACAGTAATTGTATTCTATAAAATTACTATGAATACTGAATTAACAAAAACTTATCCAGTGTTCCCAGGGGAGGTAGAGTTAGGTTCCTGTGAGCCTCTGGTCACAACATTTGTTATATATTATGGTAATGTAACCACCAGTTCTCTTGTCAGTTTGTGGTGCTGTGGTGGCTTGTGTGTTGCTGTGATGCTGGCACCTGTGCCAATGATATTTAAATACCAGCAGGGTTGCCCATGGTGGCCAGGTTTCAGCAGTGTTTCCTAAATAAAACAGACTGGGAAGGAGAGGCAGGCTATACTTAACGTTAATCTACTGAAAATCTAATGAATAACAGCAGATCATTGTCAGATATAGTGCCAGAAAAACATGCCCCTCAGGTTGGAAGGCACTCAAAATATGACAGGGCAAGAACTGCCTCCTCAAAGTAAAGTAAGCCATAATGAAGGGAATGGGGTTAGAACTCTCAGGACCTTTGTTGCTGATGAAGAACAACTCAAAATGAGGCTAAATAACTGCAAACATTCATTGATAATTGGAATATGAAATATTTGAAGTATGAATTTAGGAAAAATGAAATGGTACACATAAACATCAATATCCTAGACATTAGTGAGTTGAAATGGACTGGTATTGATCATTCTGAATCAGACAATTATATAGTTTACTATGCTGAGAACAACAAATTGAAGAGGCATTACATTCATCATCAAAAATAACATTTCAAGATCTATCTTGAAGTACAATGCTGTGTGTGATACGATAATATCCATAGGCCTTCAAAGAAGACCATTTAATACCAGTGTGGGGAAGTAAATTATCTAATGTATCTTTGTAGCCATAGTCATACCACTAAATATTTCTGCCTTGCTGGGTCTGAGTAAGAGAAAATGAGAGAAGATACTGATGACATGATTCATCTGTGCACATCAGCAGAGTTAATCGTAATTGTAAAAACTCAAGCATGGATTAAAAATGAACTATCTCAGAAGCAGGAGGGGCTGTGAAATCACTCACATAAAAAAGAGCATATTTTTTGAACTCTGAGAACCCTGCGCATTGAACATCTTCAACCTAGAAAGCTGTGACATGGGAGGAGTAGCAGAGGAACAGCAGAAGAACCATGAGGGAATATATATTTGTGTTCTCATGTTTATTTTGTGATTATCAGATTATAATATAAAGTGAATTTATGACCCATGATGCAGTTTCTTTTGACAAGCAAAATAACACTTTAATAAAATGAACAGTTTAGCATAGCATGTACTTTAATTGTAGGCAGCATGATATGAAATATTTTTCAGTATCATTTATTTTAAGCGTCATTACCTTCCACAAGCAATTTTGAGATTATATGTCAAATGTGCCTTTTTTAATCAGTTTCAGCATGTGTGTGTTTAGTTAAGAACTTTGCATTGATGGCAATATTTCAATAATTGTGATTAGAATATTTTCTTATTATTTAAACCCATATTTTAAATTAAATGAATCATTTTTCTCCTGTGCATTATGTTAAATAAACTGCTTAATCTGTTAAAGAATTGTACTTGTGTGCTGTTGAGTAAGTTCCGACACATAATAACTCTACAGGGTTTTCAGGAGTGACTGGTGGGTTTGAACTGCCAATTTTGGCTACCAGTCTAGTGCTTACTGGAACCCATTAATGAATTAGGGAGACACAGTCTGCATTGTAGGAAAAGCACCTGGCTGTGAACCACAAACAAGGTCAGCAGTTCAAACCTACCAGCTGCTCAAACCCACCAGCTGCTCATCGGAAACCCTGTACCAGGGTCACTATGAGTTGTAATCCACTCAGTGGCAGTTAATAAAAACAACAAATTAGTTTGAGCTTTGTGAATGACTTTTGTGTTGAGTGTTGTTGTTGTTTTTTTTGTGTGTACACATCTACGAGGGGACATTATAAAGATTGTGGGGAGATTTTGTCTTTTAATTGCATTTTTCCATAAACTGAAGCCCTCTCCTATTTATTTGTTTAAAGAGAAAATCATAAACAAAGAGTTTTAAACAATTTACTTGTTTTAATTGTTCACTAATGAAATTTCAGTGTTAGGACTTTTTAAATTTTATTTTCAATTGTACCTTTGTAGTATTGTGACTATTCTGATTACAGGAATAGAGCCAAGAATATTTTTAAAGATTTGTTAAATTTCATATCATAGTAATGTTTTCACAATTTGTATGTTGGTGCATTTTTTTATGTTCTGTATACCTCTAAAAATAGGATACCAGTTGTATATGAGGTTGAAATATTAAATCAGGAAAGCAAAATTATTGTAACTTTTTTGTTTATCAGTGTTTCATATATAATTACAGCAATTAATATTTTAGTCTATTCCAATTCATAGTGACACAATGTGTTACATAGTACAACTGCTCTCAGTAGAGGTTTTCATTGTTGTTGTTGTTAAAAGCCTTCCAGTCAGTTCTGACCCATAGCGACCCTGTATAGGATTTCCGAGGAGTAGCTGGTCAGCCTGAACCACCGACCTTGTGGCTCAAACCAACTTTGCAGTTCAGTACATTAACCCACAGCGCCACACTGTCTTGGAAATGGTATGCCAGCCTTTTTTTACACAATATTGCATGGTGGATTTGAACCATCAGCCTTTCATTTAGTAACTAACTGCTTAACTGTACTACCTAGGTACTCCACATACAATTACATAAAAACTTAATCAAAATTTGATTGATAGCCCATCAAAGTACAATTGTAGTGAAAGGGACAAATGGTAAAAGGGAAAAAGACTAAGGAAAAAAATCTGCACGGTAGAACAATTGATGCTTCTGAGAAATGAGTGATTCTAGGGTAATTATTACAGAGTTGTAGGTTAAATTTAATAATGTTAGGAGTTTGTTCTTTTTAAACAGTTTTTTATTTTGACTTACAGTCTACATCAGCATCTGCAACACCCTTTCAATCCACTTGGTATAGTGAATCTGAGATCACTCAGGGAGCACGCTCAAGATCACAAAACCAGCAACGAGATCATGATTCAAAAAGACCTAAACTTTCTTGTACAAACTGCACATCTACCTCAGCTGGGAGAAATGTAGGAAATGGTTTAAATGCAGTATCAGGTAAGAGACAGTATGCATGTATCTGTAAGAGACAGTACATATGAATTTAAAACTAAAGCCCTTTGCTAAGAATTAGCATATTTCTTAGATTTGGGATAATATATGAGTGCGTGTAAGACATTGAATCAGAAATGTGGAATATCCAAAATCTTAACTCTCAACGTAGTGGTAGACCTGAAATTGATGTTTGTTCTAAATTTCATACAGTAAATGTCCTATTCAAACAGATTAGCAGATTTTAATTAGCTTTTGTGTGTGGTAAACAAATTGGTCAAAAAGACATGTATTCTGCTGGTTATTACAGAAAATAAATTTTTAATGGTTGCTAGGAAAGCCAGATCTAATGTATGTTTAAAACATTTCTTAAGCATGCCTTTTATAAATGGTCAGTATTGTGTATCTGATAATTCATTTTCAGAAAATTCAGGTACTCTCTAATCATTTCATATCATGTTTATATTGTATGATCAGATGTTATGGGACATGACTAAGATATTGACATGCATAGAGGAAGATTTTAGTGTTAGGCAGAGAAGAATGTTTTTTGGTAGGAAATATTTTTATGTGATTAATTCATTAATGAATAAATATATGTTTTGCTGAATTTCTTTCCTAATTGCAACCATTTATCTGTGGGAATTTCCATAATAAATAATAAGAGTCTTCTGTATTACTGGAGATTTGTTGTTACCTTGGATACTTTTTGGATTAAAGCTTCTTCAATTATTTTAAGATTCTTCCTGGAGACATAGTCAAGTTCCCAGATCTTCCTCAATGGTACTTGGATCATTTGGAACTGACTTAATGAGAGAAAGAAGAGATTTGGAGAGGAGATCAGATTCTTCCATTAGTAATCTTATGGATTATAGTCATAGAAGTGGTGATTTCACAGGCGCATCCTGTATGTATGAGCTACATATTTATCAGTAGCTTTTATATAGTTATCAGTAACGTATCTAATTTTACATGATCTTGTGTATATAAGGGTAAGTCAAAAAGTATTGCTACTAGGGTTCCAGTTCATACATGCGTAGGTGTGTTCCAAACAAAATATTTACATGTGTGTCTGTGATCAGTACATGGCTGCAGACAAGTTTTTTCAGTAATATATTTGTCTTACTCTTATTTGGGTGCCTTCATAAACGATACCTTTTGGGCCAGGGGGGAAACAACCAATTTGAGGTAAGGACTAATAAAAGTCTTTAACAAAATCCAAATAAGCATCTTTCCAAAATACTGACGCTTTGCACATTAAGGAATGTTAAAGATTGCTGGCAGACACCGTAAAGGATCAACATAGAGACTCTGATTTGAACGTTCAGGTTATAGAACTAAGAAAATAAATATTGGTTCTTTAAAGCCACCAAAAAAAAAAAAAAAAAAGCTTATAAGAATTCTGCCCCCACATAAAGCAACAGTTTCCAGGTAAACCATGCAAGGAAGGTAAGACTAACAAGATCTCAAAGATGAACTCAAGGCAGGGTGTTTAGCTCAGCATTTATGACATCTGTTTTTTTGGATTCCGAACAGGTAAATTAGATAGATTTTCTTAAAGGACTCAAGGCAATTGTTGGGCTTATTAGCATGAAGTTTTTAGAAAATTGAAAATCTCATTGGTAAGAAAAAGGTCAGGAAATTGTTGCTAACAAATTTCTTATTGTCATGACTTATCCTATCTACTCTCCAGCCCTGATTTTGTCCCTTCAGACTTCTCTTTGTTCTGAAAATTCAAAGAACATTTAAAAGAAATAGAATGTGCACCCCTTGAGGATGCCAGACCTGCCATTTTCATGTGGTGTAATTTGAAGAACACAGAATTCTTGAGGAAACGTTTTAGAGAAATGGAAGTACTGCCTTCAGAAGCATATAGACCTAGATAGAGAATATGCTGAGAAATATCCACAGTTTGATATTTTTGTTTAGTAAAGATTTCTGTGATATTGCAGCAATACTTTGTGACTTACTCATATATTGTATTAGTTATTAAATTAAGAAGTGGAAAGGAATAAATGGAGTGACTCTTCTTTATGAAGGTTTCAGAAGAACTTAATATAGGTATATACCTTGCTTTATTGCACTTCTCAGATAGTGCATGTTTCACAAATTGAAGGCAACCCTGCATTGAACATGTGCTCACTTCATGTCTTTGTGTCACACTTTGGTAGTTCTGACAATATTTCAAACTTATTCATAATGCTGTTGCACATTTAATAGACTACAGCATAGTCTTGAGTGCACTGCCAGATTTGTTTGACTTGTTTTATTATGTCACTTGCTTTATTGTGATATCTGTAACTGAACCTATATAACCTACAAGATAATGTCATATGTTTCTAGATGTCTGCCTTTGTTTTTTCATGCATTTTTTTTCTTTTAAAGATGTTTATTTCATAAAATATGCTAAAAACATTCTTAAATCTAAACCCACTGCAGTCCAATCAATTTCAATTTATAGTGACCCTGTAGGACAGATTAACACTGCCTCATATGACTACCAACACCATAAATCGTTACGGAAGCAGACTGCCACATCTTTTTCCTTTGAAGCCATAGATGAGTTCAAACTGTGCCAGCCTTTCTGATAGCATTCGCATACTTAACCACTGTGCCATCAGGGCACCTGAGTCTTGAAAATTTTAAGTATAATCTGCTTTGTGCAATCTAATAAGTAACTGTTACTGTTGAATGACAATAAATTTGAAGTCATCATTTTAAAACATAAAGACCCATGTTTCTATCAGTGTCAGTAAGCATAAGCTTTTCAGTAATAAATACCATAAAATAAGCATACTAAGTGGTGGTGTTGGTGGTTTTGTGCCATGGAACCAGTTATGACTCATAGTGACCCTGTACAGAATTTCCGAGGCTGTAAATCTTTATGGGAGCAGAAAGCCTCATCTTTTTCCCACGTAACAGTTGGTAGTTTCGAACTGCTGACCTTGAGGTTCACAGCCCGATCTGTAACCACTACACTACCAGAGTAGCTAAGGAAAAAAGGTTTAATTGAAGTTTATAAACACAGCTGGCAGAAGTGACGTTTGATTTTTTCTTATATACTTGTTATCTTGAATAATCTAATTAGAGGAAGACATTTTATTCAAGACAAATGAGAACATCTTTTTTGTCTGCTTGAGTTTGGATGGAAGAACTCAAGTGGAACAGGATCCATAGCATCTAGGTTGTTGGTGTGAAGGTATAGGATAGAACTGATTTAGCCCAGAGTTAATTTATCCCTTGGAGTAATTTATCATTTGTGGTGCTGTAGGATAATCACTTGACCATAAGGTTGGTTGGAACTGAAGGTTGGTGGTTCAAACTCAACCAGCCATTCCTCTGAAAACCCTATACCGGGTCTCTATGAGTCCGAACTAATTTGATGGCACTTAACAACTTACCCTTTAATAAGACTCTGTGTATTAGCATGGCAGCAGTCTAGATTTTACTCTGTGTATACGAATAGGTGTTATTTACAACAGAATGCTATTATGTTTCTCATTGCATGTGAAGGTTAGAACAATTAATGGCATACTTTAGAACATGTAGATGCCCAGCCTTCATTCTGATATAAAACTCTTAACCATTATTAAGGTGTATGTGAAGAATAATCAGGGATGAGAAACACTGCTACTAACATAGAAGAAAAAATAAAATATTGGAGACGTTTTTAGCTCTTCCCAAACTTTGTCAAAATTACAGTGATTGTAAGAATACTTAACCTTTCTTCCTTATAGTGGTTTTTCTTTCATTTAATATCAGTCATCTGCATTGTATGTATTATTTGACCCACTTCACATTGATCAAGCAGCCTGCTGGCAAAGTGAGTAAAACCCTGGCTTCTAACCCAACGGATGGCAGTTTGAACCCATCAGCTTTTTCATGGGAGGTCTGTTACTGTAAAGATCTACAGCCTTGGAAACAGGGGACAGGTCTTAGCTGTCTTGCAGGATCATTATGAGTCAGAGTCGACTTTCTGACAATGGGTGGTTTGGGTTTGAGGGGTTATATTTCTTACTAAGATACTGTACTATGTAAATTTTTGATAAATTCAATTGGTTGGCACAATGATGTAAATCCATTCATAAAATATGATAAATCTTTTTCCTTTGTATATCTGATACTGACTTTACATTGCTATGGTGGGTTTTAATAATAATAGAAAAAGAAACACGTTTATTTTGGAGGTTTTGTTTGTTTTATTTACAAGTAGTTAAGCTGTGTAACTATAATATTGTTGTTGTTGAGTGCTGTCAAGTCATTTTTGACTCAATGTCCCTGTATAGGGTTTCCAAGTAGTACCTGGTGGGTTTGAACTGCCGACCTTGTGGTTTGCAATCTAGTGCTGATCCTACAGTGCCACACCAATTATAATATAGCAGTAATGAATTTGAATCCAATGTTTCATTTTGGCAGTAACTAGTAACTAAGTTGAATAATAATACTCATCATATCTTGTAATTAGTTGTCTTTCCTTCCTTTCAAAAATAGATGTTCAAGACAGAGTTCCTTCTTCATATTCACAGGGAGCAAGACCAAAAGAGAACTCAGTGAGCACTTTACAGTTGAATACGGCATCCACAAACCACCATTTGCCTTCTGAACATCAGTCCATACCATGTTCTAGGGATTCCAGCAGAAATTCTTTTAGATCAAGCTTTTCACAAAGAGAATTGGAATCTCCCCGGAGCAGTACACAGCCTACATTTTCCTATATTTCAAATAGAGATGATACCCCAACCATAAGCAGTTCAGAAAGAGTTGCTTCATCTCAAAGATCATTTCAAGAATCTTCTGAAAATGAAGGAAGGCGTACAACCAGGAGATTGCTGTCGCGTATAGCTTCTAGTATGTCATCTACTTTTTTTTCACGAAGATCTAGTCAGGATTCCTTGAATTCAAGATCACTGAGTTCTGAAAATTCTTACATTTCTCCTAGAGTCTTGGCACCTTCACAGTCTCGTAGTAATACAATGTCATCTTCTGAAGTTCCAGATAATAGGCCATCTGAAACGTCTCAGGGATTTCGATTTCTTAGGCGAAGATGGGGTTTGTCATCTCTTAGCCAAAATCATAACTCTGAGCCAGATTCAGAAAATTTTAACCAGGAATCTGAAGGTAGACACACAGGACCATGGTTATCGTCCTCACTTAGAAATAGATGCACACCTTTGTTCTCTAGAAGGAGGAGAGAAGGAAGAGATGAATCCTCTAGGATATCTACCTCTGATCTACCATCTAGATCACATCATATTTTTAGGAGAGAAGCAAATGAAGTGGTTCACCTTGAAGCACAAAATGAGTCCCTCGGGGCTGCTGCCAACAGACCACAAGCATCTGCAGAATCTAGCAGTGCTGCCACAGGTGGCTCTACGTCAGATTCAGCTCAGAGTGGAAGAAATACAGGAATAACTGGGATCCTTCCTGGTTCCTTGTTCCGATTTGCAGTTCCCCCAGCGCTTGGAAGTCATTTGACTGATAATGTTATGATCACTGTAGATATTATTCCTTCAGGTTGGAATTCATCTGATGGAAAAAGTGATAAAACTAAAAGTGCACCTTCAAGAGATCCAGAAAGACTGCAGAAAATAAAAGAAAGGTAAATTTGAGTACCTGTCTTAAGCCCATAAAGTAAGAACAGATTTATGTTATGTTAAATGACAATGAGTTGGTTTTGAGTCCGAGACCCCAGATAAGGTTCCTGAGGAGCATCTGGTGTGTAGGAACGTCCAACCTTCTGGTTAGCAATCCAGTTCTTATCCTACATTGCCACGCCAGGACTCCCTAAGAGCAGATTGGAGAAACCAAAAAATCTACTACCATCAAGTCACTTCTGACTCTCAGCAACCTTATGTAGGGTTGCTTAAGGCTGTAAATCTGTATGAGAGCAGAAAGCTTCCTCTTTCTCTAATTGGGTAGCTGGTGGATTCAAACTGCTTATCTTGCAGTTCGCAGCCCAATGCATCATCCACTATGCCACCAAGACTCCTCAGATTGAAGAAAGAGCTCTCTGAAATGCTGTCTCATAACATGGATGTCTGAATATGCTACTAAAATTTACATCCAGTAATAAGTTAATGGAGTCCTGGTGTGGCACTGTGGGTTAATGTACTGGACTGCAAGGTCGGTGGTTCTGGCCCCCCAGTCACTCCTCGGAAACCCTGTACAGGGTTGCTAAGGGTCTGAACTCATTCAACAATAATATTTTAGAAAGGGGTTCTAGTGGTGCACTGGTTAAGCATTAGGCTGGTAACCGAATGGTTGGCAGATTGAGTCCACCAATAATTTTTTGTGTGGAAAATGAGGCAATGTGCTTCCATAAAGATTTACAGTTTCAGGAACACCCTATATATTAGGTTTACTCTTCCTATAGGGTTACTGTTGAGTCACAACCAACTTGATGGCAGTGAGTTTTTAAGATGTTAAGTTCTCTCTCTTTCTTAGGTACATGGATGAGAATTAAGTGAATTAGGAATTGAGGTCTCGTGGGTGGTATTCAGAAAAAAATCTAAAGGTGGTTATTTAGTTTGGACTACATATACACATAAAGACAAGTCTATGTCTTGCCCTGTTCCTTGATAGACGGTTAGTGATGGTGGTAGTGATGTGCGACGGAGTCGGTTCTGACTCACAGCAACCCTGTATAGGGTTTCCGAGCCTGCAAATCTTTACAGGAGCAAAAAGCCTTATCTTTGCACTGCGGAACCCCTGGTAACCTTGAACTGCTGACCATGTGATTAACAGTCTTGACTCATAATCCCTATGCTACCAGAGCTCCTCAGACAGTTCCTAAGTGGTATTAATTAGTATGAGGACTCAAGACAAGTCTTTCTAATCATTTTATATAAACAGATTGCCCTTCCCCACAGAAACTATTTTGAAGTGAAATAAGATGCAGAAATTAACTTTTGATATCCGAATACACATTGAATTTTCTTTAAATAGAGCCCTGGTGTGGCGCCATCAGGTAAGCATTGGACTGCTAACCGCAGTTTAGCGGTTCAGACCCTCCAACCACTCCTTGGAAACCCTATACAGGATCATTATGAGTTGGAAACCCACTAGATGGTAATTCTTATGTAGTAGGTATATTTGCCTTTGACAAAAATGACAGTTTAAATTTGGGGCTTAGAACTTTTTTTTGGTAAATTGAACTTCTTTGTAGTATTGAAAATTCCAACAACCACTAGTAAGAGTGAAAAAATGAAAAACCAACATTTGTAATCCCAATTTGACCATTACTTGTCATTTTATAAGGCACAGTTACTTAGTTTTCCCATCTTTTAATTTTCGTTTTTGTCATAAAATGGTATGGGTGGTAATAAACTAAGGAGGTAGGTAGGTGTGTGTGTGTGTGTGTGTGTGTGTGTGTGTGTATTTTTTCCCCTTTTGTTTTCATAAAGGTCCAATGTAATAGACTTGTTTGGAAGCATAGTTGTTACTGTCATTTTGGCATTTTTGTGCTTTAACAAAAGTGTATTTAAATCCTACTCTAGTGGTAAAGAGATCTTTGCTGAGATGTTGGTCTTTGGCTTACTGTGCCCCTCATTGTCCTTGGTAATGTTGGAGTCCTGATCTGGTGCTGTAGGATTAAAGCACTGGACCGCTGGGTCGGTTTGAACCACAAGGTTGATGTTTCAAACTTAACAACTGCTTCTTGGAAACCTATATAACCAGCAAAACATACAACTATACTTGCCTAGTATGGTCTCAAAACAACAACAAAACTACAGATCAAGTGCCTTAGAGTGTACTCCAATTCATAGTGATCCTGTGGGACAGAGTAGAACTACTACTTAGAGTCTCTGAGACTGTAAATCTAAACAGGAGCAAACAGCTTCATCCCACAGAGTGTCTGGTGAAATTGAACCACCGAACTTGCTGTTAGCAGCCCAATGCTTAACCCATGGTGCCACCAGGGCTCCTTTGTAAGGTCTCTGGGTGGTTTACATGGTTTGTACTCACCCTGCAGTGTCACGGAAGGAAGGTCCAGTGATCTGATTCTGTAAAGATTACAGCCAAGAAAACACTACTGAATATTTCTACTCTGTAAAACATGGAATTGCCAAGAATTAGCATCAGCTTCACATCAACAGATTTTTTTTTTTTTACCCTGTCTAAAAGCAGCAGTTTATGGTGGTTATCTTAGAAGAGTTAGTGTGTTTGTGTCTCATTAGGCATTTAAGATACTACAGTTAATTTATTGAAGTTCCCAAGTAAAAAATAGACAAAGTATAAATACATTTTCAGCCTTGCAAAGTACTTATGCTTGAGGCTGTGTCTCAGAATACACTAGGACATGAAAGTCACATAACAGTGTGTGTACAAAGGAGTATATGTGCAGTTCTATTGCTAATGTAATTTAGGAGCCCTGTGTAATCCAAGTTTTAATTTTAATAGCCGTTCAGTATTCAGTATCATTCAATACCGAGGACCTGCTTCATGCCAGCAGTGAGTTTAGCAATAGGAATTTTAGAAAAAAATTACTTCACTTAATACATGCAAACTATATTAACTCCTAAAAGTGTCCCTAAGTCAAATTTGTAAGTAAGCTGAAACAGGTGGATATGGTGCTTATTTAGCCTTACTTCAGCACCCAAGAATCACAAGCATCCAAAGGACATGCTATCCTGCTTACATTTCTTCAGTTAAGGGCATAAGGTCCCTATTTCCTGTTTCTGAGATGGCTCAATTTATATGCACATTAAAGTTCCAAGTTGTTACAATCACAGTGAGCCATGTTAACAGTCATTCACAGCTGAATCATATTTTATCAACATCTCCCACTTCATATATCCAGATACATCAAGAAAAAAAGTTTTTTTTGTGAGAAACACAAAGATGTGGGTAAAAGAGCCATATGAAGTAATTCACTACACTTCACCTCCCCTTAAGAGAAAAGTGCATAATAAGAATAATTTTTTTTTTTTTAATCAGGCCTATTGTTAAGATAGAGACTAGTGAAATGCCAAGAGTATACCTCATAGTCACTCTTCACGTCTGGAACTGAGCTCCTCACCCCCATGGCTCTTATTTTTAGCCAACAGTAGGTCTGTAAGGGTAATCAAGGTAGTCAACACCAGTCTCCAGAACTGTGAGACAATAAATTTCTGTTGTTTAAATTTAAAGCCACCTAGATTGTGGTATTTTATTAAAGGTAAGAAAAAACAACTGAATAGCCCTGGTAGTATTGTGAATTATGAGCTAGGCTATTAAATACTGCAAGACTAGCAGTTCAAATCAATCAGGCATTCCATAGAGAAAGGCTTTCTTCTCCAGTACAGATTTGCATCCTTGGAAACCCTATGTAGTAGGGTTGTTGAGTCAGAAATGACGCCACACAACTACCACTACCATTTTGATATTATAATAAAATAATTCTAGGTCCGGGTATGGCATTGTAGGTTAAGCACTATACTGCTAACTGCAAGGTTAGTGGTTGAAACTCATCAGCCACTCTTCAGAAACTGTACAGTATCCCTATGATTCAGAACCAACTCAGTAATAGCACCATAAGGAGAACTAACACTAGTGAGGTGTGTACACCTTAGGCTTATAAAACATTGAGATCAAAAGGGCAACATTTACTTTAAGGACAAAGTTCAGAAGCATTACGAAAGAAAGGGGAATGGAAACAAACAGAACAGACATGGGGTAAATGATGTTACATTGAGAGGATTGCAATCAATGAGATGAAACAAAATGTATGAATTGTCCAGTGCTCTGTAAACATTTACCCAAGTCACAGTAAATATGTTGCAACAAAAAATCCTTAACACTGAAACAAAAATGCATAATCTACCCTTAAAAATGACTTCTGGTGTGGCACTATAGGCTAGCATTGGGCTGCGAACCACAATATTGTCAGTTCAGTTACCCCAACTGCTGCTTGGAAACCCAACCCAGGGTCACCGTGAGTCATAACTAACCATATGGCATTTAACAACCCTTAAGAAGGAATGAGATGTGCTGTAAGGTAAGCACTGTACTACTAACTACAAGCTTGGTGGTTCAAACACATCATCTGCTGCTTGCAGTGACTCAGGGTTTCTATGAATCAGAACAAAGCCAAAAAACACAGCAACAACATAACCCCCTTTTTTTTTTTTCAATGATTTATTGTGAATTATGTGATAGTTTACATGGGAGAACATTAGTTTTACATTCATCCTGTCATATATCGTTTCATTGCCATGGTTACAATCCACTCCATGCATCATCAACCAACCAAAGGGCATACACTACAAGCCTGCCCCCCCGGTCGTCAGCACCCAGCCCCACTCCCTCTCTATGTCTAAAGTCTGCAACTGCTCCATCTCTCCACGTCGTCGTCTTTGCCTCCATCATCTCAGGCCAACATAACCCTTAAAAAAAATTTTTTTTGATTACTGGAGGGCAGACTGAATGGAGAACTTAAAATTCTACTTTTTTTGTTATTTACTATGATGTAATTCAGAAAGCTCAGCAATATAAACAGGAATTAGCATTCTGAAAACAAGTGAAAAATAAAAAAATATGTTTAATTAAATTTTTGTGGGGAGGGAGTAGAGGGCAAAAATGAAGAGTGTGTAAATATATTACCTTCATATATTTGGACCTGAAGTAGTCTACCATCCTGTAGAAATTAAAATCTCTTAGGTACACTTATAAAGCCATTGTGAAAAGTCTGGAATTTAAACTATGGTCTCAAAACATGGTGGCTCCATATGATAAGCTCTGGACTGTGAACCACAGAGTCTGCAGGTCGAGTCTACCAGCCACTCACTCCACAGGAGAAATAAGAAGCTTTCTGTTACCAAGATTTGTTGTTAAGTGCTGTCAAGTCTATTCTGACTCATAGTGACCCTGTATAGGGTTTCTGAGGAGCAGCTGGTGAGTTTGAATCACCACATTGCAGTTCAAACTGACCTTGGGACCTACACACCATGTCTCAAGCCTTGGAAACCTTATATGGGATTGCAATGAGTCAGAACCAACTTTGTGGTGTTTTAACAGCAACAGCAACAACCTCAAAGACAAAATTACCTAAATCATAAGATAAAAGGAGCTCTGATGTCTCAGTGGTTAAGCTCTTGGCTTGAACCCATGAGCCATCCAGAGTCGCGCCATAGGAGATCTGCTCCTATAAAGATTTACAGTTTGAGAAATGTTATGAGGCCATTAGTTCTGCCTTTTCCTATGAGACCGCTGTGATTCCTAATTGATTCAAGTGTCTGGGTGTTCGGGTCAGGGATGTTAAATTGTTAATTTTCATGGTGATTGTTAAAGCTATTTATGACATTATTGTTCGTTGTCATTGGCCTTTTTCTACCTAGCAAAAATGTGAGTTGAAATAATAGAGACTGGGATTATGCATGACTAGAAATGACTAACCTGGATAAGTTCTGACAGCTTTGAGGTACATGTCCTCTTTTCCAGTCTCCTTTTAGAAGACTCTGAAGAAGAAGAAGGTGACTTATGTAGAATTTGTCAGATGGCAGCTGCATCATCGTCTAACTTGCTGATAGAGCCTTGCAAATGCACAGGAAGTTTACAGTATGTCCACCAAGAATGTATGAAAAAGTGGTTGCAGGCCAAAATTAACTCTGGTAAGACTTAGCTGTTTGTTTTCTTTTCAGAACTTTTCTAAGAGATGAATTAATAAATTTTTATAAATAACTGATTATTATTTATTGAATGTTGTATTTAGATCTATCCCAGTCATTTTTGAATTCTCAGCAAATGTTTTACTAGAAATTTAATTTATAGCAATGTTTTCTTATATTTTATTTAACAACTTACTTCATAAATGTAAAATAGTTATGATTTGTGATTATTAGTGGTTTTTATATCATACAGAATCTTTTTGAATCATCAGATAAACAACTGGTGGTATAGTGAATTACATGTTTTGCTACTAACTGCAAGCTTAGCACTTGAAATCCACCAGCTGCTCCATGAGAGAAAGAAGAGATTTTTTTGTTCCTGTAAAAGATTTCCAGCCTCAGAAACCATATACAGGGTCACTATAAGTCAGAATAATATGGATAATAATGTTGCTTTATTTGTTCATTGAGTGCCTATTAGAACAAGCCAGGCATAGATCTAGATGTGAGATGTAAAGTGGTGAATAAGACAGATAATGTGCTTGCTTTTTTGTTTGTGGAACTACTAGTTGTTAAGGGAATGTCTTGCTGAGGTGATGACATTTAAAATGAGAACTAAATGATAAGTAGCTATCCAGTTCAGAATGAGGGAGAAAGCACATTCTAACAGAGGTTCCAATTAATGCAGAGACTTTAAGGTGGGAATAAACTTGGATATGTTTGGGGAACTGAATGATGTGCAGTGTGGGTGAAGGGGTAGTATGATACCATTGGGAACAGAGAGTTTGACTGTGACCAACTCATATACAACTCTGAAGCTAAGTTAAAAAGATTGTATTTTTATCTAAATGAGAAACTACTGAGAGCAGAGGAATATGATGCTGCTATCTATTTTGGCTGTACTTTGTTGTTATTAGGTGCCATCGAGTCAGTACTGACTTTTAGTGACCTTATTCACAGCAGAACAAAACACTGCCTGATCCTGGTCTAATCTCACTACTGTTGCCACACTTGAGTCCATTAATGCTGCCACTTGGCCAGTCCGTCTCATTGGAGGTCTTCCTTCTTCCTCTTTTCTCTGACCCTCCACCTTACCAAACATGATATCCTTCTCCAGCGACTGGTCCTGCCTGACAATATGTCCAAAGTATGAGAGATGGAAGTTTGGCCATCTTGGCCTCCAAGGAACACTCAGACTGCCCTTCCTCCAAAATGTATCTGTTGGTTCTTTTGGCAGCCCATGGTACTTTTAATATTTCTCCAACACCATAACTCAAAAACATGAATTCTTCTACCATCTTCCTTAGTCACTGTCCAGCTTTCGCATCCATATAAGGTTATTGAAAACACCATGGCTTGTGTCAGGCGCACCTTAGTTCTCAAGCTGACATCTTTGCTTTTCAACACTTTAAAAAGGTCTTGTGCTGCAGATTTGCCTAATGCAATACCTCATTTGATTTCTTGACTGCTGCTTCTATGACTGTTGATAGTTGATCCATGAAGAATGAAGTTCTTGACAACTTTACTCTTTTCTCCATTGATAAGAATGTTGTTTATTGGTCCAGTGGTGAGGATTTTTGTTTCCTTGACATTGAAATGTAATCCATACCGAAGGCTGTGGTCTTTGATCTTCATCAGTAAATATTTTAAGTCCTCTTCACTTTCAGCAAGCAGGGTTGTATCATCTGCATATTGCAGGTTGTTAATGAATCTTCCTCCAATCCTGATGCCACGTTTTTCTTCATAATAACCCAGCTTCTCAGATTACAGCCTTGTAGCACACCTGTCTTAATTTAAAAATATTCAGTGTTCCCATGTTCTGTTTGAACAACTGCCTATTGGTCCAGGTACAGATTCCTAATGAGCCCAAGTAAGTGTTTAAGAATACTCATACTTCGCAATGTTGTCCACAGCTTGTCATGGTTTACACAATCGAAAGCCTTTGCATAGTCAATAAAGCACAGGTAAACATCTTTATGATAGTCTCTGCTTTCAGCCATGATCCATCGGACATCAGCAATGATATCCCTCATTCCACGGCCTCTTCTAAGGAGCTGTGGTAGCATAGTGGTTATGAATCGGGCTGTGAACCTTAAGGTCAGCAGTTTGAAACTACCAGCTCCGAAGGAGAAAGATGAGGCTTTCTGTTCCCATAAAGATTTACAGCCTCGGAAACCCTGTACAGGGTCGCTATGGGTCAGAATCGACTTGACAGCATTTAGCAACAACATCAGCGGCCTCTTCTGAATCCAGCTTGAACCTCTGGAAGTTCTGTCAATATATGATTACAGCCATTTCTATATTACCTTTAGTAAAATTTTACTTGCATGGGATATCAAAGAGATTATCCGATGATTTTCGCATTCCATTGGGTCACCTCTCTTTGGAATGGGCACAAATACGGATCTGTTCCAGTCAGTCGGCCAGTACGACAAACTGACAGAGACCACTTGACTGTCAGTTTGTTGTACTGTGGTGCCTTATGAGTTGCTGTGATTCTGAAAGCTATGCCACCGGTATTTTAAATACCAGCAGGGTCACCCATGGTGGACAGGTTTCAGATGAACTTCCAGACAAAGACAGACTAGGAAGGAGTGACTGACTACTTCTGAATATTTAGTCACTGAAGACCTTATGAATAGCAGAGAAGCACTATTATATAGTGCCGGGAAATGAGCCCCTCAGATTGGAAGGTACTCAAAATGTGACTGGGAAAGAGCTGCCTCCTCAAAGTAGAGCTGACCGTGATGATGCGAATGGAGTAAAGCCCGAGGGACCCGCATTTGTGATGGGACGCAACTCAAAATGAAGAGAAACAGCTGTAAACATCCACTGAAATTTGGAACATGAAATGTACAAAGAGTGAATCTGGGAAAATTGGAAGTTGTCAAAAACGAAATGGGATGTATAAACATCGATATCTTTGGCATTAGTGAGCTGAAATGGACTGGTATTGGCCATTTTGAATCTTATGACCACGTGGTTTACTATGCCGTAAATGACAAATTGAAGAGGAATGGTGTTACATTCATTGTCAAAAAGCACATATCCAGATCAGTCATGAGGTACAAAAGAGCTCTGGTAGCGTAGTGGTTACGAATTGGGCTGCTAACGTTAAGGTCGGCAAGTTCAAAAACTACCAGCTGTTCCATGGGAGAAAGACGCTTTCTGCTCCCTTAAAGATTTACAGCCTTGGAAACCCTGTGCGGGGTTATTATGAGTTGGAACCGACTGGCTCCAAGGTACTTAACAACAATGTGAGGTACAATGTTGTCTGTGATAGGATAATATCCATGCGCCTACAGGGAAGCCCAGTTAATACCACTATTATTCAAATTTACGTACCAACCACTAAAGCAAGTGACGATGAAATAGAAGAATTCTACCAACTTTTTCAATCTGAAATTGATCAAACATTCAGTCAAAATGTTTTGATCATTACTGGTAATTGGAATGCAAAGGTTGGGAGCAATGAGGAAGGATCAGTAGTTGGAAAATATGGCCTTGGTGATAGAAATGATGCTGGAGAACGCATGATAGAATTCTGTAAAATCAATGATTTGTTCATTTCAAATACCTTCTTTAGACAGCATAAGAGACAACTATACACATGGACCTCACAAGATGGAATACATAAAAATCAAATTGACAACATATGCGGAAAGAGGACAAGAGTGGAAGCCAATGAGAAATATACTAAAGTAGCACTAACAAGAAATAGTTACGGCTAGTATGTAGTGGTGTTGGAAAAAGAGAAACTGGAGAGAAATGAATGACTTTTTAATTTACTTTGAGGTAGATTCTATATATAAGACTTGCCCCAATATATCAGATGTGGTAGAGGGAGAAAGAACAGTTACAAAATTCATATTTTTTACTTGAACAACTGGGTGATGGCAATGCCATTTATTAAAATAAAGAAGATTGAGAATGCAACATGTTTGGAACAGGTAATTGTTCTATTTTCAATGTGTTATATTTGAACTGCATATTCTATAATCATATAGAAAAATCAAATAGACAGATGGCAAACCTAGTGTTTTAGGAGACACATGGGTTTGGAGATTTGGGATTCTCATGAACAGCTAAGTAAGATATAAGTTTGGGAATGAAATGAAATCTCAGGAGAGAACTGATAGCAAGGATAGTTTTAGTGAGAGCAGAGGTTTAAGGAGCAGCCTACTATAAAGCAGGAAGAAAGTGTAGTAGTTTGCAAATCAAAAGAAGAAAATTTTTCTAGGAAGGTGTAGATCAACCTTGTCAGTAAGTCAACTATGATAGGAACAAAGAAATGACAAGCAGAGTCCTTGATGGCCTCATTTCAGTGGTGTGCTGATAGCCTAAATCTGATAAAACTGGATTAAGGAGGTAAGAAAAAGCAAGACAGCAGCATAGTCCCTCTTTCAACATACTTTATTGTTAGTAGGAAGTTGGAGCAATGCGGATTGGAGGGTTGGTTACATGGGGTCACTGGAAGTGTTTTTCTGTTGTTGTTAATGTATTGTTCATTTCTATCATTTAATTTGAAATTAAAGAACAAAATAAATAGGCTTTGAATATTGTTTTCTAGAATTTTCCAAGATTAGGAATAATTTATACTTCAGTACATTTGGATTTGTCAGTTCTATTAAGTTACTAATCATAATGGTTAGTTATAATTGGAAGCATTCCTTTGGGGAATATATTTAATATCTGAATAATTGGCAACCAGTGACTTCAGTAAGTAAGATTGTTTTCTTCCCTTGGTATACATATCTTAATTTTTATCCAAAACCAGGTGATTTTTAGTATTTTTTTTTTTAGCTAACATTTGTTTTTTTAAAGTTTCTAATTTTTAGATTTATAGAATAAGATTTTTGTGCTTTAAAAAGGTTTGTTTTTAAAATAGGAGTTGCAGGGCATATTTTTTATGTTAATGATTGGTCCAGTATAGAAGGAAAAATAATGAGAAGAGAAAAAGGAAACAGAATCCAGATCCCACGTTGAGTAGTTGGCTTTTTGTTAGGAAAAGGTCTGCCTTATATCTAGAACACTAGTGTTGTTATTGTTGAGTGCCGTTGAGTTGGTTCCGACCCAGCTGGTAAGCTTGAATCACCGACCTTGCAGTTCAAATGGCTTTGCAGTCTGGCACATAAACCCACATTGCCACACCAGGACTCCAGAACACTAGTGTAGATATGGTTATTATTCAGTTGCGTTTTTGGCAGGAAAATGGCGTAGGTTCCTATGTAATTGCTTCTGTGCTTAGTGAAGTATGAGATAGGTAAGGTCTTTAACATACAAAGGAAGATAACATAGTAGGATTTCCAGACAATGGTAATAGCCAATGAAATCTATGGCCATGAATTTCAAGTGAGACACATGCGCATTTTCTTCATTTTGTTGTTTTTGTTTGTAGTTTTCAGATGTTTGACTACAGACATGGATTAGAGTTCTGAATTGAGACCTTTGTCATTCAAATATGATGAAGGGAATTAAAGGTACCTGCAAGGGCATAATTGTGATCATAAGAATTAAATTCAGGAGGTAAGGACATTAGGGAATATGTAATAAGAAATTGGGAGGATAGATGAGATTGAAGAGAGTTACTATAATAGGTAAGCTGGAATAAATTGTAGGTACACAAGAGGAGAGGATGCTTAAAGTAAATAGAAGTGTAGGTAGTGCAGTATATTGTGATGATAAAGTCAAGGGTGTGACCATAGTGTGGGTAGCTGAGGTATAAAGGGTACTATTAAAAGTAGTTAAGGAGAAGTAGGAATCCAAAGTGAACTATGTATATTGTTGTTGTGTGCCATGGAGTCGGTTCTGACTCACAGTGACCCTGTACAGGGTTTCCGAGGTGTCCATAAATCTTTACGAGAGCAGAAAGCCTCATCTTTCTCCCATGGAACAGCTGGTAGTTTTGGACTGCTCACCCCTGAGGTTAGCAGCCTGATTCGTAACCACTGCAGGTCCCAAAGTCACTCATGAATAAGGGGGCATATAAAGATTTGGAAACAGCAGTGGGTGGAAGGAAGGTTATCTACACCCACTTTCTGGTCCTAAGGTAGTACAAGGAATTGTGGCTCAGACATAAATTTGAAGGATCATTTCAAAAAGAAGCTAATTGCTAGAGGAATTTACTGATGTTAGACCATGATTAATATATATAGGGCATAGTAGAAATGACTAATAGGATGGAAAGAGTAGGAATTTGGATCTGATTAATAAATATACATACCTGTGAGATTAAAGGTCTGATAATGGTAGTTTGGTGACATAGACCAATAGGTTATGAAGTATAATGGGATTCATTTTAATAATTGTTAGAGGAAAGTACGTGGTAAACACTTCAAGCTGGAAACTATGGGGTTACTGGAAAAAAACAACTGTTCTCTTCTACAACTTATACTAGTGTGTTAGTACAGAGGTAAGCAAAGGCCTCCTTCTTAGGAGTTTAGAAGAGTATCAGCTCTAAACTATGCTGACAAGTTTCTTGGGCATGCATTCGCACCTTATAGCAGCTTCTCTTGCCTAATACGGCAATACGGCAGTCTCACAGGCTTTATTAGATACTTGCCTGTAATTTTATTAAGATTAAATGAAAGAGGTATTTAGCATAGTTCTTGACACTTAGTAAGGGCCCAGAAATGTTGAGTGTGACCAAATACAAAGAACTAGCATGACTCCTCACCTCGATTGCTATTGTTGGTTAAGAGGAAAGTAGAAATTGCTTGAGAATGTTGTATTTTAAGAAGCAGCCTAGATTTTGAATATTGGCTCAAACTAGCTATAGAACCTGAAGTTATGAACATTGGTTCTCAATCCTGGTTACTGATCAAAATCATCTACTGGAGTTTTTTTTTTTTTTTTTTTTTTAAATACAAATACCTTAGACCCAGTTTTGAAGATTCTTAGTAGGTTGGGGTTGGACCTCAGTTTCATCATCAGTAAAATTGAGTTATACTTACCTTATTGGGTTGTTGATAATGCTAGTAAATAGTTTCTCAGTGCCATGTATGTGGTAAATACAAAGGTTGATGTGGTGCTGTAGGTTAAGCACTGTACTGGTAACCACAAGATCCGTGGTTCAACCCAAGCAGCCACTCCTCAGAAACCATATACAGAGCCACTGTGAGTCATAATTGACTTGACGGCATTAACAACAACTATAGTAGTAATAGTTACTTTGTTAGATAAGGTCAAATGAGTGTGTCAACCTCAACAACTAAAAGCTCCCTGCCTTGTTTCAGAAACTTTCCTCATACTGACCCAAATATTCCTTTTGTAAAAGATTTGTTCAAAGCAACTGCTATATCTGAACTGCTAAACCCTACTTTGGCACTGCAGGATATGCACTGGACTGCTAACTGCAAGGTCAGTGGTTCACACCAACCAGCTGCTCCTTGAAAACCCTATACAGGGTTGCTATGAATCTAAAGACTACAGCATATAACAGTAACAGCAACAGTACAAGTTTAGGCAAATGCAATGAGAGTCTATTGACGGAGGTGATATAAAATCAAAAAAGGCTTGGATTAAGCAATGTACGAGTGTGACGTTGTATAATCTCACTGTTTACAGAACACTTTGACACAACAAATACCAGATTTACACTCATTTTCCTTTGAGCTGTTTTCTAGAACATGCACTTAGGGTACTACTGCTGTCTTGGACGTTATGTCAAATTTTACAATTAAAAAAAAAATGGTTGGAATTTGATAACATTAGTTCTTACAGTCTATGAGTTCCTTGAAGACACTTGACTAAGCAGGCCTCAGCAAATGCTTTTCTGGCACATAGTGAGTGACCTTGTATAGGGCTTCCAAGGATCAGCTTGTAGGTTTGAACTGCCAGCCTTATGGTGCACAGTCCAGTGCTGATACTACTAGGAGTCCAAATGCTAACTGATTTAAATTTAAACTTCTTTCTTGTTAATCTGTGTTAAAGCAAACGTAGACATGAAAAAGGGGAGTACATGTTTATTAGACAAGTCTTGTGCCCTAACTATGTGACCCCATGTGTTACAGAGTAAAACTGTTCTATAGGAGTTGTCTCAGCTGTAATCTTTGTAGTAGCAGTTTGCCAGGCCTTCTTCTTCAGATTTCTCTGGGTGGGTTTAACCCATCATCCTTTAGTGTAGCAATCAATTACAAACTGTTTTGTGCCACCCATACTTCTTACAGCCCTCTAAATTGGAGCATGAAGCAAAGAGGTAACCATATGTAGAGTGCATATAGAACAGAAGGAGCTGCTTTGATCTGGACAAATACGCATTACCTTTTTGCCCGCCTAACCCATAAGACAGGCACATTTCTTAAAGGTCTTAGATATGCTGTCACATCAAAGAATACTGCTCTGTGTGTAACTATTTGTTTGAGAACCTGTATTATTAAACATTGTTTTTATGGCATCATGCCAAGCTATTTAAGGCAGAAATAGCATGTACAGATGACAAGCCATTGCCTCTAATGTCAGCTACCTGTGATCAAGAATAAATGAATGTTCAGGAGAGTGGGGGGAAAAAAGGCAGGCATAAATAGTAGTTAGAGGCTTAAATACCAGACTTGACATGCATGCCGGGGTTACAGAGTACTATTTTAGGAGACATTGTTAGTTCATGGCAATCTTTTGTATGTCTATCTACCTTATCAGTCTATAAGATTTTCATAGTCTAAACTTAAAATTTAACAGGAAAAACATGAGTTGTGGAAACACACAGCAAACATAAGCTTCATTTGCAATTTAATTTTTAACAGGTTCTTCACTAGAAGCAGTAACCACCTGTGAACTTTGTAAAGAGAAGTTGCAGCTTAACTTGGAGGATTTTGATATTCATGAACTGCATAGAGCCCATGCAAATGAACAAGTTAGTATATTTTGCCTAATTTGGTAAGTGTCCATTCTATGCTTAAAGGACAACTCTTGAAGAAAAGATTAAGTCATGGTCAGAAACCTTGCACTAAAATAATAACAGTGTTACTGCATTAGGTATTATAATTTCGTTATTTTCTTTGCTTCTTCCTGTAACTTTTTGTTAAGTGATAGACAAATAACCAAGTCACAGGTTTTACATTTATTAAGATAAAATTCATCATATGCTTTCTAAATAAACCTGAATTTACTACAGATGCAAAACAGTGGTCCACAGTAGGCATGCCCACCTATTTCCCCTTAGCTGTCTCAGTTATGAATGTCTCAGTAATGGAAGAAGCAATAAACAGGAAGCCATGTATCCACTTCCTATTTCTGTATTTTTTTATGTAAGAAGAATTTTTTATATTGTTTTCTGTCTGTCTTTTCGGCCCATGGTATCTGTACCATTTTCCTTCCTTCCTTCCTCCCCATTCCTGCCTTATACTTCATAAAATATGTTGCACATACACTTTATGAGATAGCTTTTATTCCAAGTTCTTGTTCTCACTTTCCTTTTCTTCGGTATTTGTATCACTGAGGCTAGCCTTTATGTGGCAAATAATGTCAAGGTTGCTTTATATTTGTATTCAATTTCCTTTTCAAAGATTTCCATCAGTTATTTATAACTCTGCTCCCTGGCCCTAAATAATTGGTTTGCTTGCTGATTTTTGTTTCTTGAAGCTTTAAATTAAAAAGAGAGAAAGGAGATTTAAGTTATATACTGAAGAGTGAAGAGCTCAATATTTTTACCCTTTTTCTTACTAAATGAACATTCTGATGGGGGAAAATAGATGCTAAAAGAGATTGCAGGGGTGATTCTAGAACAAAGGTATTAAATTGTGGTTAGCATCTGTATTATAAAAAAAAAATATAATGTCAAAGGGATACACAGAATGCTTGAAAACAGTTTTTAAATGAAGGGACAATGGACACCTTTTTTTGGTGAGATTAATGTGACAGAATTAATTAACCATTTTAAAGTGAACAATTCAAAATAAGCAAAATGTACAATTCAGCAGCAATTAGTACATTCATAATGTTGTTCAACCACCACCTCTATTCCAAAACATTTTCGTCACACCAAATACTTGTTTCTGCTTCTTCCTCTTCCACTCTACCCTTACTTCAACCTCTGGAAACTACCAGTCTATGTTCTGTCTCCTGTCTCTATTAATGTACATATTATTCTAGATATTTCATATAAATGATATATGTCACCTCTTGTGGACACTTTTTAAATATAAGGGTATGTAATGGGGTCTCTAGAAATCCATTGAGCCCTCCTTAGAAAATACATAGACACAACCCTTCATATAATTTAAGAGATTCATAGATCCCTTGAAGTTGGTCCCTTGAACCTGATTTATTCAGGTTGAGAGTCACTGATCAAAAGAATGGAGCATTAGATATTTAGCACAGATGCTACGCTATTTATTTTCTAAAGAGCCAATTTCCAAAAAGAAATTACTTTCATCAAGGAATTGTCTTTAAATCTCCACAGTAGTTTTTATGGACAAAAATTCTTGTTTTTTCCCTTAATCTATATTTTCAGTTGTGGATCTTAAATTTAGATAATTCTTTTCAATTCAGCGAGGAATGTTTTTATTGTTGTCCAATTATTTTAATGACCTATAATCTTAAATAATTTAGGAGTGTTAGGAAATGTTAGGTGGAGTTATTGTAAAAACAATGGTAGCCTTAATTAAACTTCCTGATTTAAACTTGTTTGTTCTGTGTGAGTCATGGACCCTAGTGGTCTGACAACCAGCAGCATTTTCAGCATTTAGATAAACAATTTTATTTCCTCATTGTCCAGTGACTTCATCTTTCAAGATTTTTTTTTTTTTTTAAATATCTTCTGGATATGTGATTTCCTTCTAAGTTAAAAACAAGTAAAATAATCACTCTGTGAGACATTTATAAGAAGCATAATTTCTAATTTTTAAAAATACTCAATAAAATCCAATAACCACTTGGATTATGCTCAAAGCAGTGGAGGGGTGGGGTGGGTGGATGATGTGCGACTTCATCACCATCATCCACCCACCTCTTCACAGCTCCAGAGCGGATTCTGACTCACAGCGACCCTGTAACACAGAGTAGAACTGCCCCAATAGTCAAGGCTGTAAATCTTTATGAAATCAAGACTACTACATCTTTTTTATTCCCCACAGAATGTAGTAAATTCAAACTGCCAGCCTTTCAGTTGTCAGCCAAACCCTATTTACCACTGTGCTACCAAATTTTCTAAATTGAAGTAAGAACTTCAAATTCTTACTGCAAATTAATTTAATTACTCCCAAAACTAGTATAAGTTAACATTTCTTACTGTATAAAAACCAGAGCAGATTAAATTGTTAGTAACATTTCTATTCATGATTTGTATTAAATCACTTCACAATCATTGTAAACCAAATTGTTTTTATACACTACAAACTTCTGTGTGAGTTATATGAGAAAATTATTCTACTACCTTAATGTATGTAATTTAGGTGTGTTATGCAAAAGACACTTGAGCTATCAGAATACATTTTAGTTATAGTAGTGTCTTGATTTAACTATGAATGATAGTTTCTAAGTGATTATAGGATTGCTATGGGTTGGAACTGACATGACAACACTTAACAACAACAACACACAACTATGGAGTCCTGGTGTGTCGCTATAGGATAAGCACTGGAGCGCGGAGTTGGTTTGAACTGCTGACTTTTTTTTGAGTTTGCAGTTCAAACCCACCAATCACTAACCCTATACAGGGTTGCTAATGCAGCAGAACTGACTTGACAGCACTTAACAACAACATATATAACCATTTGTATAGATCTGTCATACTCCAAAGCATTCATTCTACCACTGAATGATTTTAAGTCCTATGCTCATTTGAGGGACCTTCAAAAGTTTGTGTGTCAGGGGAGGAAGTTTGTGGAAAACATGGATTTGAAGGATGATGGAATTTTTCCGTGGACTTTTTGAAGCCTCCGTATAAAGGAAGAGACTATATCAGAATAGAGATGATATTCACAGCCATTTGGACTTATTATATAGCATTATTCAGAGTTTTTATTAAATTTTGAATGACATCTTTTTTATTTCCACTTTTAGTAGACAGTGCATTATCCTTAGTATCCATTACTATGAACCAGATATTAATTCCTTTATCAATGTATTGTGGATATCAATCTCAGTTGTACTAATTTTCCTTTCTACATATTTTTCCTCTTCTTTTGTTTGCTTCCCTATTAAAGGCTGAATATGAATTTATCAGCTCTGGTCTCTACCTAGTTGTATTGTTGCATTTGTGCGAACAAAGCTTTTCTGACATGATGGGAAATACAAGTGAACCAAGCACACGTGTCCGAGTAAGTAACATTGAAGTGGGGAGAAGGGAAGATATGATATAGCAACAGCAAGTTTTTGCCTTAGAAAGGCAAAAGATTCCTTTGGGGGAATCTCTTAACTTTAAAATGGAGATTATAGATTTAATAGAAATTTCTGGAAAATGTCTTCCTTCCTTCCAGCCTGATTTTCTCTTAAGACTAGTTTTGAGATGGAAGAATTAATTTTTTAGCTCTTGAAGGGAGTTGGAATATATCTCAATGAAAAACAGGGACAAAATTGCTTTTTAATTCAAAACAAAACAAAAAACCCTTAGGATTATAACTTTGAAACCTGAAACTAACCTCCAAAAACCAACCATTTGGGAAATTAACTTCAGTTATTTGTTACTGCCCAGTGCTCTTTACATTTCCATATTATAAACTATTTAAAATATGGACTGTTTGGTGTTTACTATGTGCATTGTCAGCTTTAATAAACTGTTTAGACTAGGTGTTTGTGTTATGTATGAGGGTGGATTAAAAATAAAATTCCATTACCTTTAAATTGCATTTTTTTAATGAACTTTTCCAAGCATCCTTGTATTTGTAAATAAATGTTATGTATTATCTCAATGTATTGGAAGAAACATAATATTCTGTTGCCTTGACCATTACTTTTTGGAGACATTAGACTCTATATATGTTATTATTGTAGCATTCTAAATACTTCAAGTCTTGAAATATGTCAAATATATTCTTCATTTTTTTATATAAAGCTGTGCATTGATTGTAAAAGTATTTATTCAGAATGAATCAGCCATATAAAATAAGTCTATTGACTTTTTATGGCTTTGTAAAAGGTAAAAACTAGTTAATATTAACATGTGGGAGTCATTTTTATAATTTTTCCTTAATATAGAATTAAATGTAAATTAAACAGTGGATGTGAACCACTGACCTCACAGTGTTTATCCTAGAGCGCCATACCAAGACTCTTCAATCATTAGGCAGAAACATAAGCAGTTCTTGAGTTTCTAGCAAAAACACAGCCACTAAAGTTGAATTTATTTGGTTCCAATTTTTTTAAATGGTATGCAGATAGGTTACAAAAAAGCCCATTTCTAAGCATGTCTTTTAGTCAGATTTGTAGGGAATTTTTATTTAACTTTAGTTTAGTGCAAGAAACTTTTTAGTGATTTTAAAACCTGCATGTGAAGGTGGTGATAGTGATGAAGAATTTGTTGCAAGTTAGACGTTCCTATAACAGGAACTTGTTGTTGTTAAGTGCCGTCGAGTCGGTTCCGACTCATAGCAACCCTGTAAAGGGTTTCCGAGGTGTAAATCCTTACGGGAGTAGAAAGCTTCATCTTTCTCCCGCGGAGCGGCTGGTAGTTTCGAACCGCTGACCTTAAGGTTTGCAACCCGATTCGTAACTACTACGCTACCAGAGCTCCTTATAACAGGAACTTAGTGTGCTTATAAAAGAAAAGAAGACAATAACAGTGGTTAAAATGATTTTATTGTATCTGCTCCCAAAAAATACCCTTAAGCTTGTAATTTTTGGTGATGGGGAGAAAGTTCCCTATTTAAAGACTTTATATGGTGTTTAACTTTTTCAGTAGAAATGAGTCTCCTATACTAATTCTCTTTGGATCTATTTGCAACATTTAAACTACTGTATTTCTTTCTGCATTGTTTCTAGTTTATTAACCTTGCAAGAACTCTTCAGGCACATATGGAAGATCTCGAAAGTAGGTGGAATTTCCCCTCCCCAGACTTGTTGAATTTACTTTTGCAAATTAAACACAGAAAGTAAAACCTAGACCTTAAGTATTTTATAGCTTAATGGGAGCTTCATTTATAGATAGACTTGACCATACCAAAATGAACTACTAATCAAGCCACTAAGTATCTGTTAGAATTTTTCAGTAGGAGTAAAGAAGAAATGAAAAATTTCCCGTGGGCTTAGGTATGGTTTTATGAAAAGGGGATAAAGGGTTCTGTTTGGGAGTCCTTGACAGAAATCCCAGGTTTTTGTTTTTTTGCTCCTCAGTCATGGACCTTTCATGAGGTGTCAGCTCCAGAATTTGGACTTCTGCCTGAGCTCTTTTGTGATGGCACTGATGTCCAAGTCTTTGGTGGCATCTGCCCGTACTGCAAGCGCCTACAACTGTGAGAGTGCCTCATACTAACTAGGTGGACACAGATAGTGGTGGCTCTGGAACAGGGCTGGAATTCAACATTTTCTCCACCAATCTCTACCTACTTTACTTTTTATCCGAAGCTTCTCCCACCATCAGATTCTAGTACACTCTTAGTATTTTTAAATTCATTCTCTTCCGTTGATTTCTATAATTTATTGTCCTCAAAACACTTGTTCTATAGAATGTGTAACATTTTTTACCTTTAGAGAAAGTTAGCATCATTTGAAGGAAATTTTGAGAAGGACTCATCAAAACATTCCTTAAATATTTTAAGACATGTATTTTTGTCATTAAAGTTAAACTATATTTAATTTTGAGGTATAATTAGGCAATGTATTTTCATAATTTTAGTTATTATATTTCACAATATATATAAAAGAGTCAGTGGGGCACCATTTGGTAACACTTCTTGCTTAGATTCCTTATGTTAGATTCCTTATGTTGATTAATACAAGTATCTCATCTCTTTTTTTAAACAATTTATATTTTTCCAAATGTGATGGTAATTTCATTCAGTGTAAATTTCACTCACATTTTTAAGGAGCTAACATCATGTAAAATTTCATTTCCGTAACAAGCAGTTTTTATTCCCAACGTGTAAGAGAAAAGGAAAAAATGGAGATGAAATACACTCAGACTCCACTGAGAGTAAAAGTTGTGGGTACATATGTTCACTCTCAAGTACCAAAGAATTAGTATATTCTGAAAATAGGTTTCAACTGAAGTTTCCTCTCCTTTGATGTTAATGGTATGAAAAGTATGAGAAATTTCCTTCAAGAAAACTGCTTTTCTTTTTAGTTTGATATTTCTCCCAGGTAGTATATAAAACATAACTATAGCGTTTTTTCTGATTCAGCACAGTTAGAAATACACATTTAATATCATCTCTCTTAAATGGATTTAAGACTTCTGTAGGATAAATTAATATATTTTTAAATATAGAAATTGTTTCATTTATGTTGTGGTTGTTGTTACGTGCGTGGAGTCAGTTCCGACCCATAACGCCCCTGTGTAGGGTTTCTGAGGAGTAACTGGTGAGCTTGAGCCACCGACCTTGCAGTTCAAATGGCCTTTTGCAGTGTGGCGCATTAACCCACAGCACCATTTGCTGGATGTTCTTAAATTGCCTAGTATTAATATGAGAAGGAGTATACATTAACCTTACTGATCTTCTTAATAGGAAAGATCCTGATTAGTTTTTACTTTGATGATTTTTCATTTTCATACATAAAGACAGCAAGCAGTTTGCAGGATTATTTAATTTTATACTTAATGTTAACTCTTGAGCCAGAATGGACTCTTAATGTAAATTAGGGTCAGAAATGCTGCATGAGTGGTAAGTTTCTGACAGTATAGAGAAATAGTAGGAAACAATCTCAACTTACTGTCTTCAATTTTCTTAACTTAGACTGTGTCTATATAAAGCTATATTGACTTACTAAATAAAGCCTTTGTTTTGCCATTATGTAGACATGGCTCTGTTGTAAGTTGCAAAAGCACCCATAACCTATATTTCTATGTATATATATTTTTTTCATTCTCATCGGATGCAGCAGTAATAAGCCAGATTCCACTCAGGTGTGTGAGAGCACTTGGCTTAAATTCACTCTTCCTCAAGCATATATATCTATCATTAAAATTTCTATGAATACAAGTTGATCTCAAAAAAAAAAAAAAAATTTTTTTTTTCACTTCCCCGCCCCAGGAAACACTCTAGCCTTATTTTAAAAACATTTTCATTTTTTATAACAACTGTAAATGAATTACAAATATATGTGGTGTTGGGGATGTTGTGGATGGGTATCACCCTAACCCTGTCATCATTTTTATCAAACAGTTTACTAAATTGGGATTATAATTTTAAAGTCATTGCTGTTCTGGCTTCATGTTTACATCTCCAATTCTCACTATTGTTAAAATCATTCTTGATAATCCTGTTTTCTTTCAACAGCTTCAGAGGATGATTCTGAAGAAGATGGAGACCATAACAGAGCATTTGACATTGCCTAACTTCATATAAAACAATGGATGATCTGTGAACAAGTGTTTATTAAAATTGGCAATTAAGTACTGATTAATTTTGTGGGGGAATGCCTATTAAATACATTTACTATATCAATATACATATAATGAATATATATATATGCAAAAATATGCATGTATGTATATATTCATTCTCAAGTGTTACTGAACTAAAATTTCACTGCTGGACCTTTTAACATGGCCAGTGAGTCTGATGTTTTATAAACTGGTAATCAAAAGTATTTTTCTTTTTGGTGAGTGGGAAAGTATTACCCTTGTTTTAAATATCGAAGCAATGCTCACTTTCAAATATTTTTGTGTGTTCTGATTACTGTAGTCATATTTATGAAAAATGTTCGTGCTTTACTCTTGTTAGTGAAAAAAGTGGGATAAAATGTTTTCAAAAGAAGCTGACGAATGGTACCTATTATTATTTCCTATTATTTTGCCTTAAGTTGCAGTCTCATTTTGATAATCATTTGCTTCCAGTGTTTAACAGAAAAATGAATGTGGAGAATTTTCTGAAGAAAATTATATTAGGTACCCAAATTTAATTTGAATTCTAAATTCACCTAACAAAGTATATAAATAGAAAATATAGAACTGATGGATGACTTTTTTGGTATTGTTTTACAAAGTACAGATACTATTTGGTAGGTCATAGTATGTAGATATTCCTTTTAGGAATATTGCAACTATAAATTATATCAGAATTGCCAGCAAAATGCTTATTTGGTTAAAAAATTACTGCAATCTCAAGTTTATGGAATATTTTAAAGTTCCACATTTGAAGTTTAAAACACTGGTTTTCAATGTGTTTTTTAGTGTTATCACCTCTTTATAGATAAATATGATATTAATAAACTGATTCTTGCCCATTTTTAACCATTCGTTGGTAAGTCTGAGCATTTATTTGATGACAGTATTTTCACCACTTTTGGACCATGAATCATTCTACACTGTGGTCATGAGTTTTTTGTATACTTATGTGACACTAGTTTCCTCTATCAGTACCCTTACAATAAACTTAAAAACCACCTCCAGGTAGCTTCAGGTTATAATCTGGGTCATGACAACAAGAAGTTAAATAGCAGTTCCTCAAAGAGAAATGAGCAAACTTGCTCACTATCAGGCATTTTGTTGGTATTGTGTGTGACAGCTCAAAATAAAGTGTAGATTAATTGGCATATGTTAAGTTTGAAATGTTTCCTTTTTACTGGTGCTCAAAATAAAATACTTCAAACCAGATACCCAGGAATTTTATTAACATGTCAAATTCTCACTACTAAAATGTTTCTAAAACATATTTGCTCAATTGTAATGTAATTATCTTTGATTGCCTTACTTAAAGCAAAAAATACAAATTTAAAGATAGCAGATTCAGTATCTATTTTATGGCCCATTGAGGATGCTTTGGGTTGAAACATTTGTATTTTTATTAGAATTCAACAGGAAAATCTTTAAGACTTATGCTTAAGTCATGAAAATTTTTATTTAAAAATTTTAATGAGCTGGTAACAAAATATTCCATTTGCATGCATAAAATTTATATATATAATTTCATTAAATACTAAATGACAGTGATACATAGACAGTGGTTTGAACCTTATTCTTGTAGTTCCTTCTTGTTAAGTGTCCTCAAGACATTTCTAAGGAGTGGCTGATAAGTTTGAACCACTGACCTTGTGGTTGGTAGCCCAGTACTTATCCTAGTTCCTTAGTACCACTTAATGTTTAGCTATTGTCATATTATATAATACATTGTAAATATGGCACTACAGGAATAGGAAGCATCTTTTAATTGGTTATCTATTTCTAACATTAAATTTAGAAAGAGAACATGCGCTGCTAAAAAAAAAATAAAGAGTTCAGATACTTGAAAAAACTTAGTTAAAAATGTTTCTTTGCATAATCATGTAAACATAGGAATAATATTGTAACTATTAGCTATAAAATTAAAATGTTGAAGAAAGCAATTCTACATTTTTGAATAGTAAACAGCCAACCTATGTTATTTTTGATACTTTTTAAAAACAAAGGTTTGAATGGTCAAATTTCTTTTAACTATTAAAAAGATACACAGGCCCGTTACAGATGCTCTGACATGTAAAGAAAATGATAATGTAGCTTTTCATTACCAAGCTCTTCTGTTCTGATGCACGGCAACCTCTATAGGGTTTCCAAGACTGCAGATCTTTATGGGAGCAGACAGCCTCATCTTTCTCTTCAGAACATCTGGTGGGTTTGAACCACTAACCTTGTGGTTAGCGTAAGGCCAGTGCCTATCTAAAGTGCCAGCAGGATTCCTTGCTAGGGGCCTGTTTTGTTGTTTTTAAGCACCATCGAGTCAATTCCTACCCATAACGACCCTATATAGGGTTTCCACGGAGCAGCTGGTGAGCTTGACCCACCGACCTTGCATTTCAAACGACTTTGCAGTCTGACATATTAGCCCACAGTGCCACACCAGGGTGTTATTGTTGTTAAGTGCCATCGAGTTGGTTTCGACACATAGCAACCCTGTACAGGGTTTCCAAGGCTGTAAATCTTTATGGGAGAAGGAAGCCTCATCTTTCTCCCACGTAGTGGCTGTTAGTTTCAAACTGCTGACTTTAAGGTTCACAACCCGATTCATAACCACTACACTGGGAAAATGACACCACAGTGCTTAACAACCATTGTATAAAATTTTGTTGGATTAGATAAAAAATTGTTGGACTTTATATTAAGAAAATTATAAATAAGTTTAGTGGGAGAGGAATTCTAGAGCAGCCCTGTCTAATAAAAACTTGCTGCCATTATGGAAATCGTTCTTTCTATAATCTACTATTATGATAGTCACTAACCATATATGGCTACTAAACCTTTAAAATGTGGTGCTGAGGTAACTGAGGGCTTTAATTTTAACTTAGATATCCGCATGTATCTCATGAGTACTGTACTGGACACTGTATAATGTTAGATAGACACTTGAGATGGTCAGAGAAAGTGTCAGGAAAGAGGTAAAAATGGTGTTAGTTCTTGTTTGTTGTTAAGTGCTGTTGAATTGGTTCCAACTCACAGCAACCCTGTAAAGGGTGTCCAAGGAGCAGCTGGTGAGTTTGTGCTGCTGACCATGTGGTTCACAGTCCATTGCTGGTCCTATAACATGACACCAGGAGTCCTTAGTTCTTTAGGACTGGTAGATTTTTAGATAGTTAAAGCAAGAAGGTGTCCCAAGTTAGTGTTCACTATTATTAACAAAAAGTAACATCTATCTTGTATTGCTAAATGCTGGCAAGTCGGTTCTGACTCATAGTGACCCTGTATAGGGTTTCTGAGCAGTAGTTGGTGGGTTTTGAACTGCCAGTCTTTGCTAAAATAGCCATCTCAGTCACTACAGGAAACCTTGGAAATGTAAAGCTCTTACGGAGTATAATTATTTTTTTCTGTGCTTGTGTAATATAGCTAGTGTGGCACATGGCCATACTGTGCACAGTCTTCTGTCATCACTTTCGTTATTCATGTCTAACAAGTCTATTGTGTTTTAAGGGTTGTTTTTGACTCGATAGTAAATGAAAACAGATGGAACAGATTGCACTTTGTTGCCATTGGTCTAGCTAGTGTGATTGTGGTACTGTATTTTTACACTAATAGCAGGCACATTCATACATTTTTTTTTTTTTAAACCAAACAGCTCCCTTGACCATGCAGTGCAGTTTGCAATATATTCGTGTACTCACTTCACTGTTTTTTGAGCTTGTTATATGCACACAAATATATCTCCCCACTAAAAAACACATTCCCTATAATTAGTGAGTAGAGGTTAAGGAGAGATTACTTTCATTGAACTTTTAGGCTTCTAAATGGCATAAATATTTTATGTAGTATATATATTCTTTATTTTGTCCAGCATTGGTTTTCAGCTGCAAAGAATGCTTAAGAAAATCACTCTTCTTTCAGCTTTCATTTTTATTTTTAACTCCCAAAATTATTTTTGTCACCTTTGTCTTAAAATGTACAATAAATTACTGAAAACTTGAGCATCTTCAGTCGTTGTTATATAGTTTTTATGTCACTGAGGAATAAAATTTACAATGGTTGGGAAACATGAGATACTTTAGCTAGCAAAGCTTACAATGGCAAAAAAAAACTCATAAAAAACATTTTGAATAACATGTATTAATGTACATTGCCAGCATTTTCCATGCCTTCATGGATACAGCTAAGTTTTTGTTTAAAAAAGATATGAAATATTATTAAACGTTTGATTATTTTTTAAATCAGTACTAAATACTGGTTGTTTCCAAAATGCTCTGTGTAAAAGTAAGGAAATTATAAAATTATGTTGAGGTTGGGATGTTAAGATCTGTCAAATCTAGATTGTAAAGGGAGACTGAAATATTAGTGATCTGCAAAATAAAAACAGCATCAAGACACAAATACGTAAGTTATATTTAAAAGTCAGGCTTACCCCTACTCTCTTGTTCATTAATAAAGAAACAAACCTAGAAACCATGCACAAACTAAATATAGTAGAATCTTTTTCTAATTTAAAGAAAAAGAGGAAGACCCAGATGAGATGGACTGACAGTGATAGCAGTGGACTCAATGTAACAATTAGGGCATAAGACCAGGCAGTAAGGAGTTCTATGGTAGCGTAGTGGTTATGAATTGGGCTGCAAACCTTAAGGTCAGCACTTGGAAACTACCAGCTGTTTGGGAGAGAGATGAGGCTTTCTGCTCCCATAAAGATTTACAGCCTCGGAAACCCTCTGCAGGGTCTCTATAACCACCATCACCAAGACCAGGCAGTGTTTCATTTTGTTACCCATAAGGTTGTTATGAACAAGAACCTACTTGATGGCACCTAAAAGTAACAGCAGTGTACTCATTGGGACTCAGCCTATATGACAAAAAGCTGAACTGCACCATAGGGTTACCATGGCTGTAAGTTTTACAGAAGCAGACCATGACATCAGTCTCTGACAGACTGGTGGATTCAAACCACCAACCTTTGGGTTAGTAACCAAGCACTTAACCATTACACCATCAGTGCTTCTTAAAAAAATTCTAGGTAGTTCAATAAATAGAAGGGAAGAGAACAAGAAATCCAAGTACCCTGGGATTTGATTTTTATGTTTTGAGCTTTCAGCTTTCTTCCCTCAAGAGGAAGGTCCTGCATGTGGGGAAAGAGGTATTTAAAATCACTAAATTATATCAAGATGATTCCAGTCCTAAAATCTTTTGTATTTGTAGTCAACTTGAAGATGTAAGTTTTGAAACAGTTACTACATGAAAATAATGTTACTGTAAAATGAAAATATAACAAAGATTAATTTTCATTCCAAGTTTTATATTAAATTCTGTCACAAATCACTGATTCGGTGATTTTTTGACATCATAAACTGAGCTATACCAAAAATTTAGTCAAATTGAACAGCATATTCATTTTCTTCTGCAACTACCAAAACACAGTCATCATTAAAAGGTGATTGGGATGTAGTTGAAAAAACTGTGGTGAAATTAGAATCTGAATTTCTCTTGTACAGGAACCATATAATTGCTCCAAAAACTGTCAAGATTACTGTGCTGGCAATCACCAAAGCAGATATTAAAATGTGGTTATCTGAAAAGGAAAAAGACAAAAGAACTTATGGGAGATTATATTATACAAATTGCATGTCTTCATTTTCGAGACCACAAGCATGGTTTCGTTGTGAAAATATTTCACTGTACTAAGAATTTCTCACACTGATGAGCAAAACATAAATTACACACATATTACAGCATGTCAGTATTTGTTTCTTAACCTTGTAAAATGGCCAGGCTTCAAAATCCTACAATAGAAATTACTCACATCAATGCTATACAACAATTCTATTTGCTTTTTCATTCTGAATCTGAGACTACAAATTCAAACTTGCTCAATGTATAGTAAAAAGGATCTAAAAGATTTTAAAACATCCTAGAATTATTTTATCTTTATAAGTATATTTTTTGCATTATGGTTATGTCAATATAATTCAACTCATTTCAGCTGGTGTTTAGAAATGGAGATTTGTAAAAAGTACAGACCGATAAAATAAGTCTGAGTCAGTCATTTTAGGATGAGAGAGAGATCACTGATACTTTTAATAATTCCAGGCAGCTGGAAAGCACACAGTTGGGAGGAGTGAGGAAATGACTCAACTGAGTTCTTTTTGGTCCTCAGATATTTTGTAGCCACAATTAGGGAAGGACTGTGGGGGGTGTTAATATCGCTGGAGTAGATTCTGACTCATTGCAAATCTCATATAAAGAATAGACTTGCTCTGGTATTTTCAAGGCTGTCACCTCTCCGACACAAGAGCACCAGACCTACCTTCTGAGGCACCTCTGGGTGGCCTTGAACCACTACCTTTTCTATTAGTAGTCAAGTTCTTAACTGTTTGCTCCACCCAGTGATTCCTTGTTAACGTAGTACTCTCCTTTATAAATACTGCAGTTAATAACATCTCATACCCACATTCTATATAAAAGATTTGGCCAGTATTCTTTGAATAAAACAACCAAACATTTCAGGATAAAGCTTTCACCTCTAACCTTTCAAATTTTGAGGTTTTTTCTAAACTAATTTTATTGTACAATTTTATCTTTATAAAATAACACATTTTTATATAATTGTCAAATTCTTCTAGCTATATATACCTCTTTAGACACTGACATTTAAAAAAAAAGATTTTACATAAAGCCAGCAGCCTTTACCCTGTAAGAAAAGAGCCATTTTCTTATTTGAAGCACTAGAATGAGAAGAAGTTCATCCAGAAGTCTACTAATAAGTGCACACTACATCCACTCTATTTAACAATATGGTTAGGTTCCAAACACCAGGTGGTTTTGTAGATGTCAGTGTTACTTGCAAATGGAGGATGACCACACCTATATGACTGCCAGACCCTTGGGAGTCACAGTGCAGCCAAGTTGACACACCTTTAACTATCACATCTAGCATTCTCTCCATTTTTGCTTGGCACCTTGGCACTCGTTACTGATACAGTAATGCAAAAAATAGACTTTACTACTGTAAACAAAAACAATGAGATCATCTATAAGGAGTCAGTGTACAACATTCATATTACGTATATACTTTTATAGTGATTACATGATCATAATGGAAAAGGGTAATCTCAATTTGAGAGACTGACAATTTGAAGACTCAATCACAGCTTTATAAAATTAGAGACCAGTTAGATTTACTACACAACACTCAGATTGTTGGGGAACAGCCAGGAAGCATATGCATATATATACTATTTGTACTTCCACATTTTACAAGTGATTTTTTGTTTTTGTTTTTTAACGTTTTACCAAGCTGCAAGCTACTGAAAGAGAAAGTCAATTTCAAAGCAAAAAAACCTAGCTGTGTATTACAATATCTAAGATTTATATCTGGAGCAAAGGATAGTCCCAAATTAGGAAGTCTGTTATTTGCAACATAATTTAAAAAAGAAAACACCATTGCTTATTTAACAAACATAATGGCTGTTCCCTAGTCCTGATTTAAAAGCAAAAATCGTAGAAATTAAATCTGCTTTCACACAATAAAATAAAATCAAACAGAATGAAACAATAAGCATTCACTTCTCAAACCCGTGCAGTATTACTAATCTTCCTTCAGTTAACTGCTGTGACTTCTATATGACTGAGTGCATAAATATGGGCACATTTCAGTTCTGGGCTGCAACACGATTATTTATCACACAACTGTAAAACTTTTTCTGAACTTGGATTCCGTAAAAGTACTTTCTAATGATCTTTATAAACTCCTTCCCCTATGAGATGGTTTTCAGACAGCATAATCTTGTTCTCTAAATGATTTCAATTTCTATTTATTATTAAGTGCTGTCAAGCGAATTCCAACTCGTATTGACCCTGTATAGGGTCTCCGAGACTTTCAATCTTGGCAGGAGCAGAAAGTCTCATCTTTCTCCTGCAGAGCAGCTGGTGGGCTCAGTTTGCAGTCCAATGCTTGTCCTATAGAGCCACCACACCTGTTTATATTTATGTGTGTGTATCTTTGTAAGTACATAGTTTAAAATCTACAAGGTATGCAATGAAAAACTAGCTCCTGCTGTTAGTGCTGTCCAGTCAGTTTTGACTCACAGCGACCCTGTATAGGGTTTCCAGTGAGCAGCTAGTGGGTTTGAACGCCAAACTGGTTCACAGTCCAGTGCTTATCCTATAGTACTACGCCCTTAATTTCCACATTTCAAAGGTAACCATTTGTTTTTTTTATTATTTGCCTCCATGTTTTCAAATAACACGCTTACACTCCCTTTCTTCATATTGACTTTCTTCTATAAAAGAATGATTTAGCTCTCCAATATATACACACCAATTCCTAGGCCCTTCTTCACCAGCATAATTTTATCATTGTTAGGTGCCATCGAATCGGTATCCAACTCCTAACAACCCGATCCCGGGCCAACCTCACTATTGTTGCCACGCTTGAGCCCATTGATGCTGCCACTTGGCCAATCCATCTCGCTGAGGGTCTTCCTCTTTTTCTCTGACCTTCCAACTTACCAAACATGACATTCTTCTCCAGTGACTGCGCCCTCCAGACAGTATGTCCTAAGTATGAGAGACGAAGTCTGGCCATCCTGGCCTCCAAGGAGCACTCTGGCTGCACTTCTTCCAACACAGATCTGTCGGTTCTTTTGGCAGCCCGTGGCAATTTCAATATTCTCCAAAACCGTAACTCAAAAGCATCATTTCTATGCTGTCCAACTTCCACATCCATATGAGGTTACTGAAAATACCATGGCTTGGGTCAGGCATACCTTAGTCCTCAAGCTGACGTCTTTGCTCTTGAACACTTTAAAAAGGTCTTGTGCAGCAAATTGGTGTTGTGCAGCAAATTTGCCTCATGCAAATACGTCATTTGATTTCTTGACTGCTGCTTCCATGAGTATTGATAGTTGATCGAAGAAGAATGAAGTCTTTGACAGCTTCAATCTTTTCTTCATTAATAAGACTAGTTTATTGGTCCAGTGGTGAGGATTTTTGTACAGCAACTCACAAGCCACCACAGTACGACAAACTTGACAGACGAGTGGTGGCGTTTTATCATAGCAACCCCCAAACTGAAAGAAAATGTTTACAATATACCTCTAACAAAAGATTTGCTGTATTTACACTATATAAAAATTTACCAATCAATAGGAATTCAAAGAAATATAGACAAAAGACTTAGCTGGCACTTGACAAAAACTAACCAAATGACTTGAAAAAGTGCTCAATGTCATCTAAAAAGTAAAAATTAAAATTGCAACAAGATCATTACAAACAGAGATTGGCAGTACCATTATTAGGACTGTTGTTAGGAGTCATGGAGTCAGTACTGACTGAGCAACCCTATGCACAACAGAACACAACACTGCCTGGTCCTGGGCCAACCTCACAATCGTTGCTCTGTTTAAGCCCACTGATGCTGCCACTGTGTCAATCCATCTCACTGGGGATCTTCCTCTTTTTCTTCTACTATCCACTTTAACAAATATGATATCCTTCTTCAGTGACTGGTCCCTCCTGACAATATTTCTGAAGTATGAGAGATGAAGTTGGCCATCCTGGCTTCCAAAGAGCACTGTGGCAGTACTTTTTCCAACACAGATCTATTTGTTCTTTTGGTAGTCCATGGTACTTTTCAATATTCTCCAACACTAACTCAAATGCATCAATTCTCCTATGGCTTTGCGTATTCACTATCCAACTTAAGCATGCATATGAAATTATTGATAACACCATAGCTTGGGTCAGGTGCACCTTAGTCCTCAAATTGACATCTTCAAAGAGGTCTTGCACAGCAGATTAGCCCAATGCAATATATCATTTGATTTCTTGACTGCTGCTTCTATGAGTGTTGATGGTTGACCTGAGCAAAATGAAGTCTTTGACAACTTCAATCTTTTCTTCATTTATATGGATGGTGTTTATTGGTCCAGTGATGAGGATTTTTGTTTTCTTTACATGGAGGTGCAGCCCATACTGAAGGCTGTGGTCTTTGATCTTCATCAGTAAGTATTTTCAGTCCTTATTGGGGACATTTCTCTTTTCTTGCCTACTGACAATACGTTTCATCGTCTCTGGCATCCTCCCTGTACCACAACGTCCCACAATGGGGCAAGCAGTGACCGGAAGGGCACAAAGCCCTGCTGTGACGCTGTGGGCTAACGCGTCAGACTGCAAAGTCATTTGAACTGCAAGGTCAGTGGTTCAAGTTCACCAGCTGCTCCTTGGAAACCCTATACAGGGTCACTATGGGTCAGAATTGACTCAACAGTACTTAACAACAATTGGGGAGATGGGAGCAAATGGAACTCACATGCAAAGCTAGTAGGAAAGTAACATGGCTCAACCATTTTGAAAGATTTCCATATTTTCTAATATACTTTGGCTATTGAGGCTATAACAACCCTTCATAGTGTTTCCAAGGAGCAGCTGGTGGGCTTAAACCAACAACCTTGTGGTTAGTTGTTATGTGCCATTGGTCCAGTGCTTATCTTACAGCATTATACCAGGATCCTTAATAAACTCTACAACCCACTAATTCTATTCTTGGATTATGCCCAAGAAAGCAAGTCC